TAGCAAGTGCCAGCCTACTACCCAGAAAATTAACACCATGAGACCAAGCTTCAGTAGAAGACGTGTCTGAGCCAACCATGTCGTAAATTCCGACCTGAAGAAGCCAGTAGACACCGGTAGCACAAGGCCATGATCACTTTGGTGTAAGCAACGTTGATGTGGTTCGTTGGCTCATAATTTTCGAGGTGTCAGCAAGCGCTGTGTATGCGATCTAATTGTCATGCTAGCGAATGTTAAATTTTATTGTTATCATTAACATTATATTTGAGTGTGCTTTAGGACACAGGTTCCAAAAATTACCAAGGAACACGCTCACATGACAAATCTGTGGCTTTTTCGTCAATTATTTGGTCATCAGCTTGCTGCAAAGAGAAATTCGGAATGTTTGAGCAGATGATAGCCGATGACTACTTGACATATTTTAAAGATGTGTTGGCCCTGTGATGAAAAAAGACACAGCATATCCACAAATTGAATTATGATGAATGGCGCAAAGCGTCCCTTTAGTCGGTTCGTGCGTCTGTCTATCCGCCCGTCTGTGCATTTTTCCATCCGTGCGTCTCTCCTGCGTCCGTCCACAAGTACTTACATCTGTCCGTCTATTCGTGCATTTAGTTAACACTCCAAGTGCCGCCATATCGCATATTTTCATCATACGTTCATCATATACAAGTACCACCATTCAGCGGATGTTCCAAGGACTAAACGTGACAAATATATTCCTACTAAACAACTAAGCTTACTACTACTACTACTACTACTACTACTACTACTACTACTACTATTACTACTACTACCACTACTACTATATACATTGGGGACGCACGACCTACGAATTAAGGAGCTTCGCACCTAAACATCAATACAAGATATCCGACCCCGATCAGTTTTGTGACAAATAAGAAGGAAGTGCTAACTGTGTGTTGAACCAGTTAGTGTTCGGCAATGTGATAAACATCGACACAAAAGTAGAAGGAGCGTAGTACACTAGAAATGGCGAAGAAGTAGCACTTCTTAAGCAACGTTGAACACCTACACCACATGAATGCAATGTCTCCTTGATAAACCACCTCATGTCGTTTATCCAAATGCGTACCCGTTAGCCACAACCTCTGCGGTGAACTCATAGTAGCGAGCCCTCCTGTAAACATGTCTGTGTGTTCTTTGACACCGACTTCTTCAGTATCCATCATTTTTAGCGACCTCAGTTGCACTCTACTTTATATGCAGAACCAGTTTCCCAGAGCTAGCGTCATGGTTTGCGGTGATTATAACTTTCCAGGCATCAATTTGGTCGATATCACTGAACCTTCGTGTCATTCCAGATTTTTTTAGATGTCGTTCTTTCTTTCAAATTTGCTCAATCTGTTCGAATGCCAACTAGTAGCAGTAACACTCTTGATGTCGTCCTTAGTCAAATCCTGAGCTTACGCAATCAATATTATCCATTTATGGCCTTAGCGACCATAATTCAGCAATTTTCAACCTTAAAAGTGCCATTCCTTCGCGACAGCATTCAGCAAAGTACATTCGTGATTACAAGAAAGCAGATTCTTTTAGAATCATTCAAAAAATTGCAGTATTTATTGAACACTTTGAACAATCGATTCATAACAGGTCTACGGATGAAAAGTGCTCCTTGTATGAAAATAATCTCCTTATTAGTATGAGATGTAGCTTTAGTCTGCATTCATGGTGATGCCGGAAATGCATGGTTTACAAAATCAATAGGAAAATTCTACAACAAGAAAAGGCGACTATTCAAGGAAGCAAAGCATTCCTCTTCTTCATCTTAACAGAAAAAATACGTAGAATGTCTGATTGAATATAATAAATTGCTGAGGAGCACTAAACGCCGCTTCTATACCACAGGCTTACTTGACATCCTTCGAACTAATACAAAATGTTTTGGACTTCCTTAACTCTGGACCACAGTGGCTTGCATAACAACTCTTTAGTAAATAAAAAGGGTTCTTTTGTTGGGAAGGATTTTCGTTCAAACGTTATGAATACCCACTTCACCTCAGTTTTCAGTTACGATGCGGTAGAAAATATTCCCATACTGCACAATCCAAATTTTCCTCTTATGCTTCCAGGTAGCATGATATGCACAACACGTTGCTGAAAGTATCATTTTTGTCCTGCTGCAGTTGCCACGCAGAACGCATCGCTTCCTAAATTACCAGGCAGTGGCGTTGTGCATTTTCTTGTTAATTTCTCATTTATTCTAGTAGCTTTTCAAGATGAAGCATTTCTAAGCGAGTTTAGACGACTTACCATATCTGTCTATCTATCCACCAACAACATTTAGCTATCCGGGCCGTTTGGATCATGGGATCTACATTGAAATTCGTTTCGCATATTATGACTTTATGGCTAGCACAACTGACTAGTGATGGGATGAGAATCTGGAAATGTATGTTATGAATGTGAAGTCTTTGTTGTCATGGTCTTGCTGCTGCTCTTGCGGTGGTTTCGTTCATGTGATATATAGGTAAACTGTTATGGTATGACATGAATGCATAATTATTGTAAGTAATAGGCCCTGATGTGGAAATCACAACAGCATGTCATGGAAGTCAAGATTACACGTCGTGCTCATGGTACACTCGCGGTCTTTTTGCTAGCTTCACATATATAATATTTGGTATTACGGCACGTCAATAGCTGTTGAACGCAAATTACACGTCCAAACATTTTATTAGTGGTATGCGCGTCATGTAACATGATTACATGCTACGCTCACAGCATGCTTGCGGCCATTTTGCTTGCTTCACATACACCGAATTTGGTATTACGTGTCATGAATGAACGACGAACACAAATGGCAGGCGCAAACATTATAATCATGACATGGAAGTCGTGTACTGCATAACATACGTGCGCCTCGTAACATTGTGCCGACATAAAATTCACCTATCAACATACCTCATTTATGCGTTGTATATCATCGAGTAACACTGCACGTGGGATATGCCTAATTTTTGTACAGCGAATAGCTGTTATGAAATCCGACATGAGCCGGGTGCTTTCTGCGTACCAGAGGACTACTGCCACTCTAGTTCGTAATCACCACCTCAGGGCCAATCATCTCGTTTTCTGGCGCACCTCTGCTCTCCGTGGTCGTCATTCAGTGGCCGCATGAACACATCTATGCTTCAAGCTCAGACGATGTTGCCCTTATGCAGTGCACACCAGGGGTTTCAAATAGATGCATCTCTGGTGTTGGAAGCAAGATTTTCGAAGACGTTCTGGCTACTCAAGTTTAAGCCCTCTACAACAAGCTCTGGCATTATTGTAATAATTATTATTTCATTAGTTGGCCTGCAATGTAGGCATCCGCTCTTCAGCACCATATACACAGAAGGAACGCGAACTCTGTTCAACGTAGTCAACGCGGAGAACCTTAGTCTGAGTAGATCTATGCTTACGGTGCTCCTCACAAATCTTTAGGCAGTGAAGATTCCACAAAGACAACGAAGATCAAGATGAATGCCTCTAATGGTCTCTTCAAAACGCGATTGTTCATAGTCTGCTTTATGTTGTTTGAGAACGTGTGTCAGTGGTGTGACAGCAGATCAACTCTCTTCCACATCACATTGGATATCAACTGAAAACAGCCAGCTTACCGAAATGCGTGAACCAGAGCATAAACTTTAATAGCCTCTATTGACCTCCCTTAAGTGGAAGACACGTTAGTGCTCAGGCTTATATGAGCATTTCACGTTCGTGGACCACGTTCGCTGAGAGCAGAAGGCCAGTGGATTCCTGAACCTGGCGCACCAACCAATTACCTCATCAATTCAGTTTAACCACTGTTCATGAATTACCGATGTTACTTTCTCCTTCCTCTTTTAAAAAGGGCGTCTTTATGCAGGAAGCAAACAAGATGCGATAAAAATATTTTTTAGCCATTACCTGTTCTTATATTACCATTACCTAATGTTTTTGATAGATGCGCCGATTCTTGAAGGCCACGTACGTAGATTTAGGTGCCAAATAATGATGCCCAAGATGACAAAACGTCTGGTGCTTTCCATCAAGATGTCTGTCGTAATTATATTGTGGTTTTCATAGTTGAACCACAGCAAACATTATTGAGTGAAAAGAAGATTACCCATTGGAACCGTTCAATGGACTACTGAAACGTAAACAAGATTAGAAAGAAGTGTGCTTCCGGCCGCGATTCGATCACGCTCTTGAATTCCGGCATGTTTACGGTACCCTTTATTGACATTCACTTGAACTATTGAAAATTGCTACCGACCCGTTGTATATACAAAAGACAACCTTTGTAATGGTTGTCAGCTTTTACCAGTTACAAGCTACGCCATGTGGTACGTGCGATGCATTAGCTACATTCAAGAGACCTGTATACTATTGCCTTCCTGGAATCAGAGGGGCTTCCTGTATGTGCTACTTGTGTTTATTTAACTTTGAACAGCTACATAAAAGGACCCTATGTAGTTCTCTATGTGTTCGTTTTAGTCTAACCTCTCCAAGTTCATCCACGTGTCATTTCAGTCGGCGTCACGTTAAACCCTTTGGTTATATTGGCATTGTCTCCGTCGTACAGCATGCTCCAAAAATTATTGCAAATGTCACAAGCTTGCCTGGCCTAAAAAATACGAAATACATTCGCCTGTTCGTTGAGTCACCACTGCTAACACTCAGCTGCTTATTAGAGATCTAGGAATTATTACTAGATCAGTGACAGACTTCCTCAAAGAAGGCGCCAATTTTAACTGGGGTCACTCAAAAGCTGTCCTATCTCTCAAGCTCGTCATCTGCTCGCCGATTTCAATATGTTGACTAATTCAGACCTTTCAGCGGGTACCAAAGTCATTAATAATGTTACAAAAATGCAGTGTGTCGTTCCAACTGTAAAGCTTGCAATATTACGTGGTAAATAAGTTAACTGTCTGCTGTCTTCTCGCAGTGATGTTTATTTATGAAGCTCGCATATGTCTCTCTATTGAGTTGTGAATTTTCGCCCTTACCTGCACGGCCGACCATGTAAGTGTATCCAACCACCATGCACTTTGTTGGCTTACCTTTCTGAGAGATCGTACAGGTCGTGTCGTCGAATGAGCACTCCACCTGTAAAATAATCCTGCCTAGCAGTGTATAGTACCCATCCCAGCCTGGATGTTTTACTTTCATTAAAATGAAATTGCATTCGCATCTGATGCAGCTGACGGGCAAACGCAGCCATTTTTACATCATTAAAAGGAAAATCTTCAGCGGCTCATTGAGTTTCAGAAAGTTATTGTTTTTTTACTCAAGCTGACTGCGTTCTCACTGTCTTGGAAACAAAGTCAACTGGAAGATAGAGTGCCCTTAATTTTACTAGCATAAGAGCAATGATATCATGCATTTGCCGAGTTTTGAGACATGAGTTACTACAGCAACAAAAAATAAAAAACACACACTCTGCGTCGAGCTGTCACAACTAAATCTATTAACCTTCAGCTCATTGACGTCTAATTTAGTTGCTCGGACGCAAGGACAAATGCGTTTACTTTATTGCGCTACCCAGTCTAGTTGTTGCGTCCCGCTTCATCCTGCACTTAATGACAAAATCTTTTCTATTTGATATTAGGATTTGCTTGCCCATCTATGAACACAGGACATCAACTGTTCTACTACTGCAATGAGCGCCGTTGTTTAGTGTTGCTTGATCAGCCCTATTCTTTGTGATCAGCCATATTCCTTGCCTGTTCCTTCTGGGCACACTTTAATTATTTCAAAGAAGCAAATTTTACAATGCAAGCGTTCTTTGTGCACGTTTAGACTGAGAATAGACACTCTATATATGTACATATTTTTCATGAATTTTACGGTTAGTTTCTCATTAAAGTATTTAACACCACCTAAAAGAGCCATTTAGGCATGCTGACAAAGTGTCGAACTGCTTTGCTGCTTCGAACGCCAACCTTTGTTACGAACCATATCAAAAGAGCTAGTGTGTGCTTAAAATAAATGAAATGAAAAATGCCTCGTGACAATATGTTCCTCAAAATGATAATCAAAGATTGTCTACCATGCAGTGGAAAATTTTGAAATTTCGACAACGCTCATTTCACAGACGAAAGTATAAAAAAAACAATGTAACTGAAAAATAACTCTGAAAACTCCCTCACAAGCAAGTTAAAACTATTCAAGGCACGAAAGTTACGTGAGTATGAAGATATGTATGCATGGTGAAAAGGCTATTGTGGCGAACCCTAATTATGAGTGCTCCCTACATTTTGAGGGATGTTTTACCATAAGCAGAAATGATAATCAACTTGTTGAATAATTTTTAAATGCGCTGAAAGTATATTATATTGTTGTGCTGTAGTATTTTCTCTTATATATTTCTTTTGTGTTTTGCAGTATGGAACCTCAAATGATGTATACTTTACCATTTTATCAAGTAGAGAAGTGTCAAAGTTTGATTACCATATCACGTTTGTACTAGCCTTGTTCGCATCATCCCTGTTGCCTTTTTTCAAACGCATCTCGTACGTTACTCAGTATTTTTTGTATAATAAAGGTTCTGCTTCCCGTGTTGGTCTGCAGATGAGCTCTGCTGCATTGAGAAATAGTTAAATGAATGAAGAGAAACTCACAGCCTTGGTAACAGTTGCGTCACCACGCTCTCACTTTTTATCTTACGAAATATGAACATTACCCAAATGCATGCATTCTCAATAGCATTTCAGAATGCTCTCTTGCCCGAACCTTGCGCCTTCTGAACGTGCAGATAGTCCAACAGTAACTTTGCGGGCAGCAATTTGTCCTTGGCGGTAACTGACACTGAATATCAGCCTAAGTCATCAGCCGTAACGTCGTTTTCCATGCTCTGATAGTGCATGGGGGATTTTGTCCTATCCGTAGTGTATTGGCGCGTTTTAGGCATTTTTCGAAGTTTACAAATATTACCAAACGTGAATGCAACACAGTCCTCTTACAAAATTTTACATACAACAGCTGGTACTATCATTTGTCTAAAGGACATTTCATGCAGATGTGATGGCGCCGCTTCGTTTGCTGGAGAGGACATGCGCTATTTTTAGGTTGCAGTCGTTACACTGGCAAAAGCCTTCCAAATAGCACCACCACAGGGAGCGCGTTATCAATTATTGTTAGCCCTTCACGGTTCAGCGCTAACGCACGATGATCCAGTGCCATGACCTGCTAAAGAAGTACCCAACGCTACACAGGTGCCTTCGTAGGTAAGCTAGTTCCGCTCTGCAACTGGTAGGACTCGAACGAAGTTGGAACATGTCCTCTAAGTGCAAAATACCTGAGCGAACGTGCACCTTGGTGTGCATAGAAAACACCAAACGTTGGCAACGCGTCTCTGTATGTGCGTTTCGGAGCACGTCTCGGTTTGCTGAAACTTCAGTGGACTGAACGGCAAGATGACGCGCTGCAATATTCTGCGTCAAAGATGATGCGTTCGCGACGCTCACAAAGGGCGTCTAGCCGCAATCGCACTGTTGAAGACGGGTGCCCCGCCGCGGTGGTCTAGTGGCTAAGGTACTCGGCCGCTGACCCGCAGGTCGCAGGATCGAATCCCGGCTTCGGCGGCTGCATTTCCAATGGAGGCGGGAATGTTGTAGGCCCGTGTGCTCAGATTTGGGTGCACGTTAAAGAACCCCAGGTGGCCAAAATTTTCGGAGCCCTCCACTACGGCGTCTCTCATAATCATATAGTGATTTTGGGACGTTAAACTCCACATATCAATCAATTAACCGTTGAAGACGGGAGAGTTTGCAGCGTGGCTCAACTGTCACTGGCAGTTGCTGTTGTTAATGCGATAGATGGCGTAACTACTTCCATCACCTCGTGGGCCAATGTGCAAATGCCGGTGAGGTCCGTGATTTATTGATATGTGGGGTTTAACGTCCCAAAACCACCTTATGATTATGACAGACGCCGTAGCGGAAGGCTTCGGAAATTTCGACCACCTGGGGTTCTTTACCGTGCACCCAAATCTGAGCACGCGGGCCTACAACATTTTCGCCTCCATCGGAAATGCAGCCGCTACAGCCAGGATTCGATCCTGCTACCTGCGGGTCCGCAGCCGAGTACCTTAGCCACTAGACCTGTAGCCCAATCAATCTGCACGTTTGCCGGTAGTCAATGTAAAAACAACCTGCGTAGCAGCGAGTCGTCGATAGATGTTGCGTTGTCTGAGCAGCTGCTTCATTCGGCGAGGAAGTTGACTGGTCCGTCAGCCATATAGTTCTTCGGAGGACAGAAACTGCTGGATGTGAGAACGATCTGAAACTGCCGTAAGCTTTAGCAGGGTCTTCTTGAGTTTCTCGTAGACATTCGCCTAAAGAGTTCAACAGATCCGCTGCCTCGTCGATAGCGGTGGGCTATAAAACAGCAACAGTGTAGTGGAACTTTGCAGTTTGAAAGCGGATACCAGCGACTTGAAATTGTTATTCCACCTGAAAAAACCAAGCCGAAGGATATCGGTGGCATTAGGCACCTTAAAGTGGACCAGAGGGCACGGGGAAGCTTTTTAGCCGCCTCAGCAATGTTTGTAGCAACCGCCAGGAATACTAAGAAAATGAAACTCGCTGAACACGTGGGGACGCTGAAATGTCAGTGCCCTTTTTAGCGCGTTTTCAAATAAGGCTTGCTTGGCGCTTACATAATCAGCCGTGGCCCCCTGCTTACAACAAAATCAAAGTAATATACACAGACAAGTCCGGTTTTGCTGCATCTACTCGCTAGGCTACGCAGTAAAAAACTCGGTTTTGCTGTACGTACTCGATAGGCTGGGTGTTCTTGCGCTACCATCAGATCTCGTAAACTGAGTTGCCGGGTACCTATACTGGGGAAGGAAGACAAGGATGGCTGAGCAGGAGGGCTCACCATGTTCCTCGGGAAGATCTTGGTCTCGAGAACTCGTACTGTCGGTCTCTTTCATGGTCGTTTTTGCCCCAAAAATGTATGGCCTCAATCACTGTTGGCTCACCAATCTGTGGTGAATGTGCGACCTTAGAGCATGGTGAAATCTAGGTCTTCCCAGATAGAGGCAAAGCCGGAAACGATCACTATGACTAAATGTATTTTAATGACTGTCTCGAGCGCCCAGCCCGCGCAGGCCCGTGGCAGCGTCTGCTTCCTCCTGCAAGAGCGAGCGTTTTTATTTGTGAAGCAATTCTAATTGAACTTCGGCGACATGGAGCGTATCTATCTATCTATCTATCTATCTATCTATCTATCTATCTATCTATCTATCTATCTATCTATCTATCTATCTATCTATCTATCTATTTATCTATCTATCTATCTCTCTATCTATCTACCTATCTGTCTATCTATCTATCTATCTATCTGTATATCTATCTATCTATCTATCTATCTTTCTATCTATCTATCTATCTACCTATCTACGACTTCTAGCTCTTCCGGCCGTTTTGATATTGGTAACGATACCAAACTTGGTATGGTATGACATGACTGTATGACGAGCATATATAACTAGTCAGAACATGAAAATCATGACACGTATGTATTGAACGTCCAGATTTACATTTCATAGTCCGGCTGATATTGCGGTGGTCTCGTTCACATAACGTGTTGCAAAACTCGCATGGTATGATATAGATGCATGACGAACACAAGCGACAGACCCTAACATGAAAATATTGACATGGTGTCATGTTACATGACCACACGCCACGCTCATGATGCACTCGCGGCCGTTTAGCTAGGGTCACATATACCAAATTTGGTATAGCGGTACGTGAATGGTTGACGAAGATACGCGATTGGTGCAAACATGATACTCATAAGATGTATGCCATGTAGCAACATGATTACATGCCGCGCTCATGATGCGCTGGCGGCCGTTTCGCTAGCGTCACATATACCCAAGTTCGAACTACGGTACGCGAATGGATGATGAAGGTATACGACTGGTAAAATATGATAATCAAGAGATGCGTATCATGTAACATTACTACATATTACATATTACGTTCATGATGAGCTAGCGGCCATTTCGCTAGCTTCGCATATGCAAAATTTGGCATTATGGTACGTAAATGGACGACATAGGTAAACGACACATCTAAACATGATAATCACGACATGCGTGTCATGTAACAACATGACTACATGCCACATTCATGATGCGCTCCTGGCCGTTTCACTAGCTTCAAGTATACTGAATTTGGTATTACATGACGGTAATGGATGACGAAGGTATGTGACTGGTGCAAACATGATAA